TCGTCCAACATCAAAATTACTCAGCAAAATTGAAGAAAGGCACCACTCCAAAACATCCCCTCTCTCTCTCTCTCTCTCTCTCTCTCTCTCTCTCTCTCTCTCTCTCTCTCTCTCTCTCTCTCTCTCTCTCTCTCTCTCCACAGTATCCCGAGGCGGGCAGTCCGTCGCCTCACACCGGCAAGCCAGGTTCGCCCGTGCGCCACAGTCCGTCGCGGCCCCACGTTACCCAGCACCAGCTCGTCGGATCGCCAACTCTCTAGTCACCTTCCAACTCTTGCTCGTTAGTCGATCCTCTTGACCGCGCTAACTCCAAAATTCATAGAGAGCGAGTTAATTGCTTTTGCAAAATTTATAGCATGAGCGTTTGCGCGAGATTCCCGGGATTGTGCCTGAGTGGGAGGGAAGAAGGAAGAAGGAAGTGCCTACGATTGCATGGTCGGGCCGCGGAGTGGGGGACGTAGCCACTCTCCACGCATCGATCCAATCCGGCATCGCTTAGGCCAATAGGATTGGGAGGAATATGCGCGTGCAGGGATGCGACAAAGATATCAAGAAGGAGAAGATTACAGTTATATTCGAGCTTGCCAAGAAGAGGATTACGGTTTCACGCAGGATTAAGGCGCGGGGAAGCCAAAGCACAGACCCTGACGCGGCAAAGCGCACGCAAGCAAGAAACGCCGGGCAGTTGTCGGCAAAATCGTGATGCACCAAAATTCCTAGTGTAAGTCGTAATTGCAATGAGAAATATGAGAAAAGAAATTCTGAGAGCCCACGGGGGCTCGACATCAGTTGAAAAATCAAAAAGATATTCCAGCGCGCTGATCGTGCCATAATTCCCCTTTCCCACAGCAAAACAAGAATGAAGCTATGGCTACAGTTATCCTCCGCGCTCGCTATGGCACGATCACTACCAACTGTCACAGACCATACCAGCCTGAATCCCAAAAGAAAAGACGAGGGCATCCATGCAACTCGACGGGGCCCTCTCAATGCACCCCCGAAGTAGCCTTGCGCAGAAAATCGCGCAGTCGCAAAAAACAGTTCGTCACAACCTCGCAAGGCAATCAAAATCCTCACCCTAGGCTTGATCAGAAGACATCGGGTTGATCCTTACAATGAGAAAACGGCCCGGTCAGGGGCCAGTTTTCTACAAGCTTAACATATCCCTACTCCTTGATGAAGACATCGGGTTGATCCTTACAATGAGAAAACGGCCCGATCAGGGGCCAGTTTTCTACAAGCTTAACATATCCCTACTCCCTGATGTACGGCTCCAGTCCTTGATCAAGGCAGAGTGGTCCTTTTGGCAGCAACAAAAACCTCGCTTTGACTCCTTAGCGACGTGGTTCAACAATGGTTTGCTCGACCTTCCAAAGAAGTGCAAGGAGTTCTCAAAGGAACGTGCAACACAGTAAACATCCAGGTAGAATCACAGGCCCATCCACAAAACTTATGGAATGACATCCAACAACTGCTAGAGTGTGCCTGACACAGGTGGCAGAGGCTTAGAGTGCATAGTAAACTTTCTAAGTTTAACAACAAAGCTACTATGGACACACACTTCTTTAGCTTGGCTACAACAAGGATTGAGCGTATTTTGATCAAGACCCTTTTTGACTTGGAGGAGGGAGGGGATAATTTAACCATTTCAACGGTCCGCCGTACACGGGTCACTATAACCTTTTTCAAAAACTTCTACACATCTGAGATTGTGAATCCGCGAGATGAAGCTCGGTTGAGAAACCTGGACAATTTCCTTAGGCTAACGACAAGAGCGTTGTTGAGGCAACAAAAATAAAGTCTGGACGCCCCATTTACCAAGGATGAAATATGGATGGCGCTGTCCAGATGGAGGAAGAAAATACCCCCACCATTGATGGCTTCCCAAATGAATTTTGGAAAACCTTGTGGTCCATCCTAAGCGTGGACTTGTGAAGCAACTATCAGAAGGTATGGGAGGACGGGGATATAAGGGGAGGGGGGGTCAGGGGATTTTGACACTTCTATATGAAAAAGGAGACAAAATGAACATCAGGAACTATAGGTCCATCACCCTCCTGACGGTAGTCTACAAGATGCTCGCCAAAGCCTTGGCGAACGGAATGACCAAGGTTTTAAAGGACGTCATACACCCGGCTCAGACCGTGCAGGAAAACGTTCTGCTGGTAAACGAGATGGTCAACTTGGCTAGGCAACAAAAGCAGAATCCAATTATCACCTTCATCGATTTCAAAAAAGTCTATGACCATGTCGACTGGTAGTTCTTGGACGAGTATGGAAAAAATGAATTTTGGCCCTGACTTTCGCAGATGGATAAGCATCTTGCATAAAAATGTCACCACCTGCGTCCAAGCCAACGACCTAGTGCCCCCCCCCTTCCCGCTGCAGCGGTCGGTCAGGCAAGGAGACTCGATCGCCCCTTACATTTCTTTATTATAATGGAGGCCTTATCGCCTAACCTGCAGAGCAACACAGATATAAAACGTGTTGAGGTGACCGGTATCCTGGAGGAGGCGGTCCCGGTCTGCTCCCTATTTGTGGACGACCTAACAATCATGGCGGAAGCAAGGGCACAGAAGTGGGAGGGGATCCAGGCCTTGATGGACAGGTTTTGCCGATTATCAGATATGATGGTGAATTGGGGTAAAAAAACGGTGGGTTGGTGGCTCCATCATCAGGGTGGCAGGCTGCCTGAAAGACCGCAAATTACATGGCTACCCCCCGATGCCCCGCTGCGGGTCCTGGGTGCATCCCTATAAGCAAAAGGTAAGACTACCGAGTCCAATGATGATTGGATCACCGCCCCAGCGATGTCCAAATTACTCAACTAGAATGGGAAGCACACTTCGATTTTTGGACGCGCGCTGGTCATCAATGATGTGGTCTTGGCTTCCTTATGGTACAAGTTAATCCTGTGGCCCCTGAGCAAGATAGGATCTCGTGCCTTGAAGAGACAAATCACAACCTTTCTTTCGAGGGGGAACAACGAGTCCCCCTATGCGATTAGCGGGATGGCATGAGACTCGGCAATCCGACCCAAAACTAAAGGAGGGTTGGGTATCATTGACCCAGCCACGCAGGTCCAGCCACTTAGCCTGCGCTGGGTAAAGACTCTGATTTTTAACCCCAATTCTCGTAGGTGCCCGATAGTGCTGATGCAGATCGCAACTCTAGCCCCCGAGGCTTCCTCAGAGATAGACCCCAAGACTTGGATTGAAGATAGACATTGGAAAATCCCCAGACTATGAAGGGTTGGTGGAGTCTAGGCAAAGAGGACGTGAGTCGGCCGCAAGCGCTAGCGCCCCGCAGCTGCTGGTCCGGCAAGGCCCGGGCCGTCGGCTCGACTAGTGTCCCGGGGGGTTTCCCCGGGCGCTTGGCCTGTGCGCGCGCCCAGCAGACGTTAGTGGTGTTTTGCCACGTGGCGTATGCTGTTGGTGACGCATGTGCCCCGCAACACGCGGACAGGGGTAGCGCCAACTGTGGAACGATTGGATACGACGACGTTTAGTGGCGGCGGCTTCAAAAATCTCAGCAACGATGGAGGGGGGCATGGAGACGGAGGAAGTGTCTGTGTTGTCCCTTGCGATGACTTATAAACTGCAGTTGGAGGAGATGCATGCGACACTATGCCAAGCGAACGCGGTTCTGCCATACGAAGTTCTGCTGGAGGGAGAGGAGATCTATGATGGGTTGGATGATGAGCTCTATGAACTGATCTCTTCACGACAGCGGGACGCGAGTGATAGAGCGCGGGCGATCGCCGTTTTCTACGACTGCGTGGAGTTGGTGCAGCAGATTAAAGACAAGTTCTCTGACCTTTTGGCGAGAAGACATGCGTGTGGTTTGCCAAGCACAGAGATACAGCATCAATACCTCCAACATCTTTCATAATATCATCAACAACATTAACTTCACCAACTATGGCAATAACGGAGTTGACATAGAGTACAGCTACATCATCAGCGGTTGTATTGCCAAAAATGACATCCACGACGATGACATCACTATCTGCAGCAGCGAGGTCATCGAATACATTGAGCTCTGTTCAGCAATGGGGGCTGCTTGAGCAGGCTGACGAGGCAAGGGGGCAGGGAGAGGGGCTGCCCTCTTGTGTGGAATGTGCGGATCGACTATGCTTGAATGCGCTCATAAGTCACGGAGGCGGGGGCCTCGAGGAGCGGCGGGGCCTGTGTGCCGAGATCGATGAGCGTTTTCATAAGGATGACGATGACGATACTGTGGTCGGCCTCGCTGCTGACGATGTGGTTATGAATGACGACGGTCGCTGCGATGAAAACAACAACAACAACAAGGTCAACTACATAGCATGCAACAATGAAACCGGCAATGACACCGAACTTGGGGAAGACACTGGTGGGGAAGTAAGTGTGATCCGGTTGCTTCTCTCTTCCCAGTTTTCGTCTTCCATTCTCATTTCGTTTCTGTGGGCTGTGGGGCGCGATTGGGGTCAGGGGCGAGTGGGTTGGGCGATTGGGATGTCCGTTGAACAGGGACAGGGCGCGGGATTGTGGGGGTGGGGTTGGTGGCGGGAAGGGGTAGGATAGGCAGAGCTTTTACCTCCCCGGTTGAAACGCGCTTACAAATCTTGGGAATCGGGGGGGAGGTAGCTGATGGCAATTTGATATGATTTTGCTCGCCAGTTCGGGTATCTGATTTTGATGATGATTGCTGTGGATCTGGCGAATTTGCAATAAACAATGACTTCTTACGGCAGCATGGAGCAGTATAGATAGGTATTACTGCCTTTGTGGATTAGTGAGTCATGCAAATCAAGTTGAAAGAACATATATTGGACATTTACAACCAGTGGGACGGCAAACCATCTGTCCTCCCCCTACTCCCTGACAACAGGACGGCCTAGTGAGTCTACTACTCCTGATAGCTAAGGATTTAGCATCGTAAGCAATTGAGCTTCAGTTATCCTCCAGGGAGAACAGATGTTGAGGGTGTACCATTCGAGAAAACAATGGGCAAAATTCCGACACATTGTTTTTTTGTTTTTTTTTAAACAGAAACACATGCCCCATATATTCTGGGGGGGCGTCAGTCCGGTTACTTATCCCCGGACAGCATGAGTTCAGAGAAGAAAGCGAGAGAAGAAGCCCCGAGCGCCCGCCGCCCTAGCCACTAGACGGGCGCGGGCGGGGGGGTAGACCCGCAGTGCATGTTGAGAATCCCCTGCAGCGCAAAATGGCCGGGAAACCACCACTCGGTACCCTGTCACCCATTTTGCATGACCCGGGGGGACCGACTAGGGCCGCCCGGTTGCGCGCCCAGCCCCAGGGTCTACACTTGAGTACCAATACACTATTATTATTGAATTAAAAAATATTCACTCCCCCCCCCCCCGAAAAGCAGGCTGAAAAAAGCAATTTAATTTGAAACGAACTTCAGTATTCACTCCTGCGGCCTGCCACAGTACAACTAAGCAGCACATGCTCAGTAGAACGAAATTCCCCTGATAGCTCCACCATTTCACAGGCTGAAAAAAGCATTCCTAAAATAACACCTTGACAATGACAAAAAGCAATGTCCTTTTTGTCATTAAGCCGCAAAAGGAAATGGTTCTTTGAAACGGGAACACAACCTAACGTCTCAAAATCCCACCGTCCCCGTCAGCAGAATGCCGACGCTAGGGCTTTTTCTCAGTCAGCCTGAGTGAGGCCGAGTCAGAATAAATAGTGTCCGCCTCAAATCTGGAGAGAAGACTGAGTGGGAGAACCATCACTTTCTGGCAAACTCCATCCTTCCACAGGTTAGGCATGCGATCCCTGGTTTATGCATCATCCTCCTATAGTTGAGAACAAAGCAAGCACATGGACTTCAATTCTTGCAACCAAACCCAGCATGGGCTTATGTTTGCCGCTATTGCCGCCAGTGCCACGGCCGCTGTCGCGCTCCCTGCTGCTGCTGCCGCTGCCGCTGCCACTGCTACTGCAGCAGGCAGGCTTGCGCAATACAAGCCAGTCAATCGAACCCTGTCTGTCGCCGGCCACTCAATTTCCAGATCTCCAGCACCAACTCTCATTAGGTTATGCCCTGTGCGCTGTACGGATAGCAGCTTCCCTCCCGCATCTGACCATAGACTGACCGCTGGGACAGGGTACCACATCTTCGACCCCTGAAGCTCCTCCCGCAGGTGAGGTGCCTCTTTCCCGACCAAAAAACGACTCCTGACCCTGCTGGTAACAAGCTGAGCATTGAGTCCCATGCCTTTGGGAGGAGGAACATCCTCCCACAAAACTTAGACCCACACGTAAATCCCATATATTTCGATGCTTCCCTTTAGATTGGTTGCTTGCAAACATTCCTCGTCAAGCAACCGATCGCCGCCATTTCAAAAGTGTCCATGTTCATGTGCAACTCATCATTCCCGCACTTTCTGGACTCCGACCCAGATCGCATAATCCACCCACCTGTTTCCACCCCAAGAGAAAACCACATCAATCATCAATTATTATTACTATTTCATTTGTCAGAACCCAAAAAAAAAAAAAAAAAAAAAGCAAGAAACTACAAAATTACAAAAAATTTGAAAAAATGATTTTAAAAATTACGTTTTTACATTTTCTCACGGTTGTGGACATTCACCTTCAAAAGTCTGTCTGCAATATCAAGATAATAAATTACTAATTGCAAAAATAAACAAAAATAAAAATAAAAATAAAAAATAAAAATAAAAATAAAAAATAAAAATAAAAAAATAAAAAATAAAAATAAAAAATAAAAATAAAAAATAAAAATAAAATTACTGATCGCAACAGGTATGTGGGCGCCGTCCTGCTTTGACGTGTGTATCAGCAACATGCAGGTGTTCAGACGACAGGGTTGAGTGCCAGTCCAGCAACTCAGGTCAAAATCCAAACCGTCAACATCGTTCACGATAAACGATGTGATGGGAAGAACAAACAAAAACCAACGGACAAGGAGCAAGGACACAACTAGAATAAAGAATAGTACGAAACAATGCCACTGCTGGCACCCCCACCCAAAAAAGAAAAAGAAAAACAAGAAAAAAAAGGGGTACAAAACAGACAAATACACAGCTAGACAAGGATCAAGCACACAACCGTGAAGCGAGTAAGAGAAGATGATGTCAACACATTTCACATGGAACTAGAATGATCAAGAGAACAAAGAACGTAAAACACAAGAGAGGAAAGAACAACAATAAAAGAGAAGTGAGTTAAAATAAATTAATTGAGTTTTATAGCTTATGGAAGACATATGAGTGGTCCCACAGAACAGAAAAAAAAAAAAAAAAAAAAAAAAAAAAAAACACCCATTGGGATCGACGTAAATTTTTGGGTCAAGCAAGTACTTACAGAAGGGAGCCAAGGAATGTATTGGCTGTTCTGACAGCGAAGCTCGATAAGCTCAATGCAAGCTTCTGTTGATGAAGCAATGGTTCAAGGATCCGCTGCTCAACAACTCCCGCCAGCACTTGATATCTGCAACAGTCCAAACAAACACCCGTCAGAGAAAAAGCCACAGAATAAGACAATGCTTACAAGCAAGCATATCCTCGTCCACCCATTCGTCCTTTTCCTTCCCTATGCGTCTCTATTTACATTCTTTCACATCCACCGACAGGGTACTTCAGCAGTTGCTGCCTCACAGGCTGAGGAAAGCCATCGGTAAACAGAATACGACATCTATTAAAATTGGAACGAGACATCCTTCCGGCCTCTCAACCATGACGGGGCCGGGCCCCTTATCTGGACCAGAGACGTCCCCTTATCTGGACCGGAGACACCTGACCAATCCGACGAGAAAAGTGTCGAAGTGTGTTCTCAAACTTCTCATTGTATTTATCACGGTGACGAAGGACCGATACATCTGACCAATACGAACGTCTTGGCTACGAATGTCGAGGCGATCCTCAGCCAGAAGATTTTTGTATTGCAAATTTGCAATGCTGCATAACACATCTTTCGATCAACTTTTCAGCTGTCTCTTATACACATCTAGATGTGTATAAGAGACAGGGGCTGTGGGGCGCGATTGGGGTCAGGGGCGCGAGTGGGTTGGGCGATTGGGATGTGCGTTGAACAGGGAGAGGGCGCGGGAAGGTGGGGGGAGGGTTGGTGGCGGGAAGGGGTAGGATAGGTGGTGCTTTATCTCCCCTCTAGATGTGTATAAGAGACGAACACAGTATATCCGAGATGGAAATCGCAAAGACAGGTGTGAACAAAAATTAAGTCCAGATTCCGAAAAACAGAACGAGCAAATCACTCGTAGCCG